GGGGGGGGTGCTGAACAGCATTACAGCTCTTTCATTTCATTTCTCACCTACCCCAAACCCACCCCCACGCAGCCCTGGAACACTCTCAGCTGGTGGCATTCACAGATGCCTGGGAAGAAAAGGAAATATTCTACTAGAAGGCAACAGAGGTCGGAAAGAGATTTTGAAGGAAAACTATTGCCTCCAATAATAGGAGCAGGGGGACCCCCCCCTTTTTTTTTTCTTCTTTTTTTTTTTTTTTAAAGAACAAAGCAGTAATTACTGTGGGGACCAGACTGCCATAAGGCCTTGCTGTGTGTTTCCACCCATGCCTACAAAGGCTTTGCTTTGATGGATCCTGGGAGCAATCGCTCAAGAAACCTGCTCCAGAGCCCAAAGACTCCTACACTGGAGGTACTGCATGCTGTTAGCTCTCATTTAAAACCATCCCCTTGTCTGTTGTGCTGTTTCTTACTCATTTTTGGCCACGCACCACCCACCGTGGTTACATCCACTCTTTGGTCTCCATCAAGTGGTCAGCAGGTGCCAATTTTTTTTCTGCCTGGAGGAATTCAGTGACACACCTTTGCTTGCCCTGCATTTCCATGTCAGGTGCCATTCTGTCAGCCTCTGCTGCTGTCAGTCACACGGCAACAAAACACAATGGGATACAATGGGAAGGTTCAGCCTCTACTGCTGTACGACCAGCATCCACCTCTGATGCTGTGGGTCGACATCATAAAACAAGAGGCATTACTTCCAGAGCAGCCCTTGTAATCTCATAAAATCAGGTAGAGGAGCCTCAAATCAATCAGAGATCCTCACCACGAGGTACTTTTCTTTAGATGTTGCCCCCCACCAGCTCAGGTTGCCCAGTGTCCCATCCATAGCCTTGGGCAGCTCCAGGGTAACCACAACTCTCTGGGCAGCAGTGCTGGGACCTCACTGCCCTCCGAGTGAAGAATCTCCCCCAGAACATGGCTTTGCAGTGCACAGCTTGCACGATTTTCCAGGAAGGGACTGCACGGCGTCTGAGGGAAATGCAATTACTGCTGGGGAAACCTCCAAACGTGCCTTTGGAAAACCACAAACCACTTTGTATCAGCAATAGGACTGGAAAACCCACCAGGCAGTAATTTATCTCGCCTAATGTCCAGTAAAGCCCTTAATTGGCCAATAAATGCGGTCGCAATAACTGCACTTGACATGCAACGCTGCTGCCAGCAATTAGCACTTATTTATTTGCATACTGCCCTGACCAATCTGCGCTCCTCCATTTCCGGATCTGTTTGTTTTTAAGCCAGGGAGATTCCTTGTGTTGGCCAAAGAGAGGATGAGGAGAGCCAAAGGGATCGGAGGCTCAGGCCCACTGCCCACATCCCTCAGTGCCACGTCCCCATGGTTCCTGAACACCCCCACGGATGGTGATCCCACCACCACTTCCCAGGCAGCTGTGCCACTGCATCACTGCTCTTTCTGAGAAGAAACTGTTCCTAATATCCAACCTGAACCTCCCTTGGCACAAGCGTGGGTAGCTGTATCCCCAATAGGGACACAGAGGCTGTCAGCTGCCCCATCTGAGTGAGCTCCACTGGGCTCTGTGAAAGCACGTTTTGGTGCAGCCCTTCCTCCATACCTCTCCTATTGCTCTGCACATCCACCTGGTAACAGACAGGCTGATGGACTGCAGATTTCCCTGTAACTGAGCTTAATTAGCAAGCTAATCAGGTCTGGAGATGGTTCCAATTTATTTATTGGCTGCTGCGCCGAGGTTCATGCCAGGTGAACAAATATGATGGGATTTTCCCCATCTCCAGCACCCGGAGCATCCCCTTCTCAGCTCCCTCCGGCCACACGAAGGCGTTACAAAGGGGAGTATTTATTTTGCCAAAGTATGGGGTGAGATAAAAGGGAAGAAATGACAAAGCAGGTAGAGAAGGCTCTGAGCGTGGCCAAACCCACTCTTGGCTGCAGCATCCCTCCCTGCAGCCTCCCAGGGGTGTGCAGCCCCAGGACCGAGCATCCCTCCCACTGGGTGTGAGAGCTGAGCTATGCAGGGAGAAGGGGAACACGGGGCACGAGGGGCTGGAAGATCTCAAATAAGGCAGCATGATAGGAGAGGGGCTTTTCTGCGCCGTCCCTCGGAGACCGCTCACCGAATGGAGACAGTTATTAGAGGGAGTAATTGGGATCAGCTCGCTTTACAAATGTTACTTTGCAGAATGAGGCAGGAAGACAGATCGATCTCAACTATTATTCATTAAGGAAAGTCCTTTATAAATCCCAAATTAACAATTTCTCTTAGAGAGCCTTCCTATTACCCTTCTTGCGCAGGAACTTATTGCCGCTTTGGAAATGTTGAAATATGAAAATAATTGGGGAGGGGGAGAAAGAGCAGTTGTGGGCTTCAGAGCTCATCATCGATGGGAAAAATAAAGAATATAGCTGTGTGCCTTAAAATCAGCCCTTATTCGGGGTGGTAACATCCTGATAGATACTATCAGACCACGGCCGCAGCATCGCTCAGAAGAGCCCAAGCCCCGAGTTCTCCTTTCACTCTATTAACTGATGGGATGGGAGCATCACAAACTCTCCATCCCTCCGTCCTTTAGGAACGCAGCCCCTTGGTGCAGCTCCTGAGCCCGAGCGGGGCTGCACAGAGCCAGAGGAAAGTTGTGTGAGCGGATTTGCAGAGCCGGAGGGAGGGCGCGATGGGATCGGGTCAGTGTAATCCTGTTTTATCCATTGTAATTCAGGCAGGCAAGGAGACCTCAAACTATAGGGGAAGGGGCTTTGAGAACCTCAGCGGCCCTGCCACAAAGCCGGAGGCTGAGGCCGGGACAAAAGCTGGAGAGAGGATGAAGTGGCTCGAAATAAATAGATTAAGGCTCTCTATGGGCCGGGCGTAGCGGGAGGGAGAAAAGAGCAAGCGAGGGGCGGCCGGGGGGCAGGAGGGGACATGGGGGCTTGGATGCAGGACCCCAACCTCTAGGAGGGAATTTGTCCTGGGCCCGGTGGCATTTCCCCATCTCTGCGCTGCTGCATCCCGTACACACACGGTTCTGAGTGTTTTGGAGCCACAGTCGGGCTTCACGAGGCAATTTATAATTCATACAGGTTGTCTTCCTGCATACGGTGTTGCTTTTGCACGTTGGGGTGCTGGCTGCTTTACGAGGGAGTGCTTTGCATCCGCTGCTGCTTGCCAGCCCGAAAGGGATGTGGGTGAGGATGGGACTGAGCCCCATTCATGGGAGCTGACCCCACAGCGGGATCCCCATAGGGCACATTGCCTGTCTCCTGGGGGTAGGGGGAGGGTTGCTCAGCTCTGATGCCCTCACCAGCTTCTGCAGCCCCATGTGGGCTCCTGCAGGTTGGATAGGTCCCCACAAACTGTACATCGAGGTGGCAGACAGAAGGCACAGAGCCCCAGCTGAAATAATGACACCAATTAGGTCCACGCAAAAGAAAACAAGAGGGGAGGCAGCTGGGAACCCCAAAAGGTTTGGGGACCCTCTCCTGGTTTGGGGAAGGGGGGGGGGTGGGTAGCAGCAAAAAGCAGTGACGGCTTCGTTAAGGGAGAACAGCAGAGAGAGCATCCTCCTGCTGATGGATGCAGCATAAATACGATATAAAATCTATAATATTGCACATATAGGGGGGGGGTGGGGGGGTCCTACAGCCCTGCTCCCGGGGCAGCTGCTCTCCTTCCCTCTGTATCGGGGCCGTGGGGCAGCGCTCCCCGCACGGCACAATTATTTGATCTGCAGATGCGAGAGGAATTTATTGGAACAACAAATAGAGTGATGTCAAAGCCCAACCTTGGATTAAAGCCGGCAGCCAAAGGGGAAGTGTATTAATTTCAAACAGCATCAGAGGCCAGCGCCTATTAGGACGAGCTATTCTTCAGACCCCCCCATCAGAATTAATCATTGGGAGTTAATTTGAAGCTCAGACAAGTTGCTGTTAATTTAGTGCGGGGAGGACGGGATGGAATAAAAAGCCGAGGTGCTGGCCGGGCCTCCTGGGTCTCATTAATCAGCGAGCTGAGACGGCCTGGCTTGATTACAATTTGCAAAAAAATTCATTAGAGCCCGGGCGATTGACAATTTTTCTCTCTGCCCGCGCTCTGACTCATTAGGCAGCCAAATGAAACCGCGATGATGGCGATGATGACAGCCATCAGCCCCGCGTTGTTTATCTCCTACCTCCCCCGGCCCGGCCCGGGGCTGCCCCTCCGCCCCCAGCCCCGCTCCCATAGAAAGAGACCCCCCCCCACCGCTGCCCAAAGTGCCCCCACACCCGGGGGGGGGCCGCGATTCCCCTCCGTCCGTTCTCGGTAACAACGACCGTACGGGATGAATTGAAAGGAAGAGCGGAGGGGACCCACGCGTGTCCCGACCCCGCACGGGAACGATCTCAAAATGAAGGGAAAGGAGCGAAGTGCTGCGGCCGTCCCGTTAAAAACGGGGAAAAAAAAAAATAATAGGAAAGCAAAACAAAACACAACACGACAAAAATAAAACGAAGTGCGCGATGCTGCCGCAGAACCCCGTTTCTCTCCCGTGCTCCCTCCACCCCGCGCTGCTTTATTAATTTTTTTTTTTTTCCCAGTTTTTTCCCGTATTCTCACTTCTTTTTTTTCCGGCAAATCCTCTCTCCCTTCCATCCCCCCCAAAAAGGCGAAATAGGGATAAAAGCGCATCACCCCCCCCCGCCTTCTCCCTCCCCGGGGGTCGCAACGTACCCCGCAGGGAGGTGTGCGGGGGGGGGAAGGAAGGGAGGGGAGACGGCTCCGCACGGCGCTCCGGGAGGACCCGAAAAGAAAAGGCGAAAAGCGGAAAAAGCCGACAACAGTCGCACGCTGCGCCCGAGCCGGGGCGAAGGATGAGGTGCGGTGGGGGTACGGGGGGGGGTGTGCGGGTATTTTTGTGTGTGTGCGTGTGTGTGTGTGTCCCTTTTTTGTTTCTTTCTCGGCTTTTATTCACAAGACGGGAGTTGGCTCCTTAAATTTCATAACTTAGAAGGAAACGGGCTACATCGAAATAAATTAAACCACAACGCTGAATTCGTGCTTTCCTCGGTGTCCGTCTGTCCGTCCGTCCGTTCTCCTCCCCCCCCTCCCCTCTCTCTCTCTCTTTCTCTCTTTCCCCTCTCAAAACGGCTTTGAGAGGGGCGGCCCCGAACCGACGGCTCCCCCAGCGCCGTTACCCCGGGGCGGTGCGGTCCCGGTCCCCGCTCCGTACGGCGTTCCGCCTTCAGTTCTGCCGCTCGTTGCCGCCGGATCACTCGCGGGTCGCCGGTGGGGTCGCGTCGCTTCTAGATTTATTTTAAGGGGGGAGGCAGGGAGTTGTTTGTTTGAGTTGTTTTGTTGGTTGGTGTTTTTTTTTTACGGGGGGGGGGACGGGAAGGGGGGGGGGGAGGAGAGGTTGGTTTCCGTCGTTCGTTTCGCTTTTCATTGCGGGTCCGGCGAAAACCCCGTTTGTCAACTTTTTGCCCCCCCAGCGGCGCTCAGGGCCGCGCCTGCTCCAGCTGCTGGTGCTGACTCCTGATGGCGAAGCGGCTGACGTGCACCGGGATGGGCACCACGATTTTGGGGTTCCGCGAAGGTTCCCCCGCCTTGGAGCTGGCGTTGCCCGCTTTCACCCGCTTCCATTTAGCTCGCCGGTTCTGGAACCAGATCTTCACCTGCACCTCGCTCAGCTTCAAGGCGTGAGCGATCTGCGAGCGCTCCGTCAGCGAGAGGTACTTCTTGCAGTGGAACTCCTTCTCCAGCTCCAACAGCTGCTCGCTGGTGAACGCCGTCCGTCGCCGTCGGTTCTTCCCCGTGGCTGCGGCGTTGGCGGCGGCGTTGGCGGCGCTGGGGGGGTTTTCCTCCAACGCGGTACCACAGTCCTCCTCCCGCGGGGCCGCCGGCGCGGGGCCGTTCTCGTCGGAGCTGTAGTCGAGGTCGCTGTCCATGGAGAAGTTCTCCTCGCGGCCCTTCGCCTCCTCCTCCGATTTGGGATCGTCTTTGGGGCCGCCGCGGAGGGCCCCGGCTGCAACCGAGCACAGAGCCCCGTTAGGGCCAGGACCCGAAGCCCCGCGGCCGGAGTTCGGATGTCATCGAGGGCTGAGAACCCCCCGGCCCCAGGAACCCGAATTCCAACGGCCGTATCGAACCGAGGGGCTCCGAAGCCCCGTTCCAGGCACCCGACGATTACGAAGCCTGAATCGAAACGCGGGCAGCGAACCCCCGGGCCCGGACACTCGATTCAGATGCTCGAATTTATTAATAGAGAGCTGCTGCCGACCCCCGGCCTCAGAGCCCCGAATTCCAACGGCTCAATCGAACCGAGGGGCTCCGAACCTCCCTTCTCCGGGCCGGGAAAAGTGAGAAAATTAGGAAATCCCGTCGCCCCCGCACCCCGAGTCCCTGCAGCCCGGTACCCCCCCAGCCCAGGGGTCCTTCCCCACACGTCCCCCCCGCCTCCCCCCCCGTCCTTCGGCCCGCACTCACCCAGCGATGCGTGCACGGCGTCGGCAGCGGGGAAGGGCAGCAGCCCCCCCCCGGTTTTGCCGTCGTCTCCGCCGCCGCCGCCACCGTCCGGGGGGGGCAATCCCTCGGCCTTGTCGAAGTTCCCCGGGGGGGCGAACTTCCTGGCGGCCTCGGGGCGCGGCGGGGAGGCGGGGAAGGAGCCGGGCAGCGCGGCCATCAGCGTGGAGGTGAGGGCCATGCCCTGCGCCAGCCCAGGGCAGAAGGCTCCGGGCAACGCGGGCAGCGGCGGGGGCGGCGCGGGGGGCAACGGAGGCTGCAGGGCGGCCTGCGGCAGGGCGGGCGGCGGGGGGGGCAGCACGACGGGCCGGTACGGCATGAACATGGGGTAGCCGGTGTAGACGAAGTGGCCGGGGGCGGGCGGCGGGGGGCTGCCGATGAGCGAATCGATGCTGAAGGCCGTGCTGCTTCCCAGCGGGCGCTGCATCATCATCAGCGAGGGCTGGAAAGCCGCGCTCATGCCGGGCCGGCGGAGGAGCAGCGACGACCACCTTCCTCCTCTTCTTCCTCTTCCTCCTCCTCCTCTTGCTCGGGCTCGGGCTCCGGCTCCCGCAGCTCAGCGCCGCGCAGCGCCCACGCGTGGGGCCGAGCCGGGGCGGAGCGGGGCCGCCGCCGCCCGCACATCGGGGCCGGCCGCCCCCCGCCGCCCCGCGCCGCGCTGCCTCTGCCCGCCCGCTCCCCCGCGCCCATTCACATTTTGCCCGGCTGGGAACACGGCCCGGCCCACGTGCCCGCCGAGCGCGCCGCCCATTGGGCAGGCGACTCGTGGGGGCGGGGCCTAACGCGGAGGCCACGCCCACTATTCCCACGGCCACTCCTCTCCGCCTCCGGACGGGGCGTTTCCATTGAGAGCGGCGGGTCGGCCCCCCGGCACCGGACCCCCCCCCTTCCCTTTTTCCATTCATTCTTATTTTCTTATCGCTGTTATTTCATGTTATGATTATTATTTTTTTATTTGAATTGTTCGTTTGAATTGTTTGTTTCTATTTCTTCCGATTTTTTCATATTTATTTTTCCTTTCTTACGCTCTTCCCTCTTTTCTCCTTTTTATTACAATTTTTTTTTTTTTTCCTCACTTTTATCAGTTTTTTCACACACACCTCCCCCCCCCCGGCTCCGAAGCTGACCGTCGTCGTCGTCTCCCCCCCTCCATTATGCGGAGCTCCATTCATCGCCGCGGCGGAATTACGGCCCCGCGGCCGCCGCCTTCATCGCAGCCTCTCGGAGCGCGGGGACAAAAGGAGGGACGCGAACACAAAAAGAAGGGAAAGGGGAGGGGAGAGGGGGGGGGAAGAGGAAAAAGCCCCAAACTTGGAAATTGAACGTGAAGGGAACTTTGCGCAACTCCAAAAGGCCGTAAATAATGATAACGGGAGAGGAGAAGAGGCAAAGCCCGGCAATTACGGGGGGTTCCCAGCAAGGATGGAGCGGTTCGGGAAATAAAATTTAAAAGCGGGAAGAAAAAAAAAAGAGAGAGAGGGAGAGAGAAAAAGGGGACGGGGACGGGGACGGACCGCCCCCGGCCTGGGGGGGCCGCAGCCTTCGGCCACCCCCCGTCTTGCTTTGGGGGCCCACGCTCGGTGTGGGCAGTGGATGAGCCGTACCCCACAGCTGCCTTCCCGGAGCTGGGGGTCCTGGCAGCCTCCCCCCCACCCCGGGATGGGCTGTGTGGGGCCGTGCTCCCCCGGCCAGCCCCTCAGTGGGTTTTGAAACCAAACCCCATTTATGCTGTCGGTGGGACTTCGGCCCCAATGACCCCGCTATGGAGTTTATCGGTGTTGGGGTGCAGGCCTTCCCCTTCTCTCCCCTCCCAATGCGCGCTCCTTTGGGGGGCTTTGAGATCTTCTATGGCGCTTTGGGGGCGAGCTCCGTCTTCCGTGGGCCGGGAAAACTCATCCGCTCTCTTCGCCCCCCCTCGGGCGCTCCGTTGCCGTCCCTTTGGCACTGTCCTCCCCCCCACTGCCGCTTCCGTGGGGCTGCGAAGCTCCTGCGCGGGGGAGGCGAGGGCAAAATCCCCGTCCTTCCACGGTGCCCCGCTTCTTCCACCCGAATGCCATCGGAGGAGCGGGTTTCGGCCGTCCGCTCAGCGATTAGGATTGAATATCCTCATCCTTTTTACCCTCCGTCCCCGTATCGCTGTGCCGCTGCGTCCCGCCGCTCCGCTCCCGCATTTCTCGTTTGTCGTCGGCCCCCTACAAAAAAATTCCACACTCCCCCCGGACAAAAGTGACTTTTTCTACCGCCGGAGATGGGCTTTGTTCGGCTCTGCGGCTCCGTTAGGAAACACCACCGGGTGCCGGGGGGGCAGAGCGGCACTGCGGCCGGGAGCGGCGGGCGGGGACCCCCGGCGGGGCGGCTCCGGGGGGTGGGAGCCAAAAAATCCCCGCTGTTCTGTTGTCCCCGCATCTCTGAGATGTCAGGGGGGCTCTGGGTTCGCCCCGAAATCCTTTCTAGGGATGGAGCTTTGGGGTCGTGTTTTAAAGAGGGTGAATTGGGGCTGGTTGCTGGAGGGGAGAAACCGTGTGCGCTAAAGCGGTAGAAGGTGTTTTTGGCCAATCATCCCCCAAAAAACGAGCAGCCAAGCAGAAATAACTCGGGGTTTGGAGTAAAAAAAAAGAAAGAAAAAAAAAAAAAGCGAATATACGTGATGTAAGGGTGTGGGTATACGGTGTGAGGTGCACGGGTACGTGGCATGGGGTACACGGTGTGTGGTACGCATGGCATGAAGGGTGTCTGGTGATGTGCGTACGGGGCTCGGCTTCGTTCTGCTCCTGACAGCCAAACCGATGACTTTATCAAAAGCAAAACTCGGCTTCGGGGAGAACCCGGCGAGATGATTCCCATCAGATTTAGCACACCGGGGATACGTTCGACACACACACACACCCATACACACACACACACCCATACACACACACACACCCATACACACACACACAGCCCTCCGCTGCGTTGGTCGGGGCTGAGCCACCCCACGGGCACCGATCGGGTGGAGATGCGGCTGTGGGGATGCGGGCAGCGGAACCGGGAGCGGCACCGACTGCTCCGAACGGGAGACGAGTCGGGGCAGCCCCTGCAGAGCCCTCATGATGGGGGGGTGGGGGGTGGGGGTGGGAGGGGGCTCCTCCTCGCCGCTGCATCCGGCACTTTGGGTTGTGCTCCTTGGTGCGCTTTTTTTTCTTCC